ATTTGTTCTATTGTTACCCTTTACCCACATTCAGATTCTGACCATCATTTCCATGTAGTCAGAGGTAAAGTTGATTACTTAATCATACTCTCAGGGAGCAAATACCCCTTCAACCTTTAGGGGTCAAGGAATGGCAGAAATGGAATCAGTGCCACCCAAAAGACATATGACTTTTCCCACCAAAAGGGCTGATGGCAGAGTTTAGTTTTATTGCCACATAAATCATGCTTTGTTCTTTTTTTTTATCTCCTAACTTCTTCCATACATACTAATTAATTAATTGAGCATACCTGTCTAAATCATCCAATCTTGATTCATATGACGGTATGCCTGTGAGGGTTCTAGAAGTTAGAAGTGATTTAGTATTAGAGGGTTTGATTACACTGAATATAAAATCAAATAAAATGAGAAAATGATGGATAGAAGAGAGGAATGAGGTTTGAAATTAACCTTATTTCCTGTACATATAAGAGGCCCACTTAGGTTGGTTTTTATCTTGGCCTATTTTGGGAGGGATGTATTTGGCTCGCAACCAAGAATAGAAAATAAACAAGGATCTGTATCTGCTAAACCAACCTCAGCACTGTTGACATTGTAAGCTGGGTCGTTCTTTGCTGTGGGGGCTCTCCTGCACATTCTAGGGTGTTTAGCTATGTCCCTGACCTCTACCCACTAGATGCCAGTGGTACCTCTTAAGTGTGACAAGCAGAAATGTGTGAAGATATTGCCAGTTGTCCCAAGGGACAGAGAATGCACCCAGATGGGACCCACTGCTCCAGACACAAGAACTGTTAAATAGAAAGGGACCGACTCTCTAGGTCAAACCACTTTTATTGTTAATGAGAACTCTTACCCAGCAGTTACTTGATTTCTTTCCTGCATTTTCCTCACACACATTCCTTCTCACAGAGTCAGGAAAGCTTAGTGGTGAGAGCAGATCTGGGTGCCAGTCTCAGTTCTGTGGGAGACCAGAGCACAGCAGTGACAAGCTCAGGAACCTGCCCTTGTTTTCTCCAGTTGTGTTAGTGGGTAGTGTAATCCTCAGAGCTGATGGCAAGGATGCAATGAGTGACTGCTTGTGAAATGTAGTTGGCACAGGGTAGCTGCTCAGGAAATGTGAGCTCTGTTCATGAGCTGCTGTGCTGGGGCAGTTGTGGATCTCATACCTGATGCACATTGTCCCACATCCCAGTGCAATTTAGACCCACCCCAAAGACCTCAAACCTGACTTCCACAAAGGACACTTTCAGGTGGAAGACAAGTCCCCTTCCTTCTGAATGAAGACACGGAACCTCCTTTTAAGAACTGAAGTCCTGCTCCCTTCCTTCAGACCATTGCATGTGGGCTGCTGGAACACAGCACCTTTTCTCCTTCCCTGCCCTTACCAAGCCCTTCAGCCCCTTGGCTGCTGCAGTGAGAAACAGGGAAACTGATAACAAGTCCAGATCTGTTCCTGATCCCTCTGCGGGCTGCCTTGCCTCCAGGCAGCCCCTTGCTGCCCTTGAAGTGTTTCACCCTCTCCTAATTGGAACTGTCTCTGAACTCTGTACTACTCTGGGGGAGAGTGAAAGCCAAAATGGTAACCGTGACCTCTGCAGGCAGGCAGAGAGTGCAAAGCCTTGACCTCTGAGCGTTCTTTATCATCTGAGCCCATTTTATCATCCCAGCAACCCAATGAGGTAGGGAGTCTGCTTGCTATTTTAAAGGTGAAGAAATTGTGGTTTGGAGAAATTCATGTTTTCAGCATCACACAGCTGGTATGTGATGAGCCTGGGATGTGAACTGAGATCCGTCACAGCCCATGCTCCTAAAGCTTCCCTACTCATGCCAGATTCTAGGCAGAAATGATGATTGATTCCAAGAATGCAAAATTAGTTCCTGAATTCAACAAACACACACACAAAGATTTTTCTCTAACAGCATTCTTTCTTAATTTCACAAAGATTTATTAAGCACTTTCTGTATACATGACACTCTATATTGCATTAGGAAGGCACAATAATTCATTGAAACCACCTTCAAAAAGTTGAAGAGGGGGGCTGGAGTTGTGGCTCAGTGGTAGAGTGCTTGCCTAGCCTGTGTGAGGTACTGGGTTTAATTCTCAGCACCACATATAAATAAATAAAGGTCCATCAAAAACTAATCAAAATATTTTTTTTTAAAGTTGAAGAAGTAGGCTAGGGTTATGACCCTGGTTTCAATCTCTAGCCCCTCAGAAAAAAAAGAAGTGTAAGGGGAGTGTTGGATACATTAAAATAAAGTATATGGTAATAAGTTTAAGAAATCTTACTAGCTCATGAAGAGAGTAGCTAGCTGTATCTAGAGGGAGAGAAGATTTCATAGTGAACTTTGAGGGGACCTGGAAAGATGGAGGGGTTGGGATTCACTGTTGTCAGAGGGTAAACCCACAAGCTGCCTTAAAGGGAAGGAAAGTCTGAGCAAAGGCCAGGAGCAACCCAGTGTATACAGGGAGCTGGAAGGAGTCTAAGGTGGCTGAAGCATACAGGGATGGAACCCAACACGTGTCTCATGTTAAGGATGTAAATGGGACCCTCTTGTTTTCACATAGAGCCCATGCATCACCATGACCCACTCCAAACAGAGTGCTGGCAGCAGAAACATCCAAGAGCAATGGAGAATCACTAAGTGTCCTGGAAAGATGGCAAAGGGGATTGTGCCATAGCAAGACTCTTCCTCAAAACAGCATTTCTAAAAAGAGCTGGAGGTTGGGCATGATGGCACACACCTTTAATCCCAGCATCTTGGCAGGCTAAGGCAGGAGCATCTCAAGTTTAAAGCCAGCCTTAGAAATTCAGTGAGGCCCTAAGCAACTTAGCAAGACCCTGTCCCAAAACAAAACAAAACAAAAAAAAGAAAAAAAAATTTAAAAAGGGCTGGGAATATAGCTCAGTGATAATGCTCTTGCCTGGCATGCAAGAAGTCCTGGGTTTAATCCCCAGTACCAAAAAAACAAACAAAAAAAAAAACACCATGGTTATTTGGATGATAAACCTAGTTATCAATTGCTGGCAAGGATCTGAAGTATAGTGATCCCGTAGGGCTGCCTCTTTATTATCATTCTCTTCATAATGTTTATTTCAGTTCATAGTCATTTTTAGTGTCATCCATTTTCCAGATCTGACTTTAGCAAAAGTCTCAAGAATAATGTCCTGTATTGGTTTCCTAGAAAATCTCTGCTGTCCTTCCAAGCTGTGCTGCTCCCTTGTGAGTTGACCTGGACCAAAGAGTTTTACTCCCATTGGTCTCTGCCTCCCCTTCAATAATACTAGAATATTATCTCTTAGAATAACTGTAAAGTATTTATTTTCTAGACAGTATTAGAGAATGAAAATAATCATGATGCTTCATTCAGTCAATACACATGGGTCAAGTCTACAGTGTTGTGAGCCTAATTTGGGGGGCTATTTTGCAAAATAACATGATAATAGTAAAACTCCTAGCAGCGGCACCATTTTCACTCACAGTTCTTCTCATGCAGGTGTGTCAGTATATACTGTAGCTTATCATAACTGTTTATCAAGTTGCTCCATAATCATTGTAATTAGTGTTACTTTAATGACCATGTAATCATCCATCTTTTTTTTTTTTTTTTTTTTGGTACTGAGGGCACTCAACCACTGAACCACATCCCCAGTCCTTTTTTGTATTTTATTTAGAGATAGGGTCTCAGTGAGTGGTTTAGGGCCTCAATAACTTGCTGAGACAGGCTTTGAACTTGAAATCCTCCTGTCTCAGCCTCCCTAGCCGCTGGGATTACAGGCGTGTGCCACTGTGCCCAGCTCATCCATCTTATTAAGTTATCATTATTAACCTAAATTTTCAACAATAGGAATCTGGTTGTTCCAATTTTTACTCTATTATAAATAACTTCTAGGTTACATATATGTAAATATATCATCTTTCATAAAATTATTTCCTTTGGGGTCACCGGATTGAGAAATATAATTTTTTAATATTTTTAAATAAATTGACATTATTTTTTTAGTGTACAATGCCATCAGCATTATATTAGTATTCCACTTACATTACAACCTTATCGGAAGTGTGTAGTTTTATTTGATATTTAATACATTTATTTGTACCTCTTAATTTTGCATTTTCTCAGAAGTAGCAAGTTTTTATATATATTCTCTCTTTTGAAGAACCAGTTTGATTTGAAACTTAGTAGTTTTTTTTCTTTTACATCAACAACTCTTAGTGTCCTTCTCTCTCATTGCCCAATAGTTTTGTGTACTAAATGAGACTATATTAATATTTTTCTGAGCAAAATAGTTGTATTCGTATAATAATGAATTATATGAGATCTGAGCATAGGGAACTATAGGAAGTACCCAGATAAAAATAATAGGAAAATTAAAGATTTTAAATCAGGAAAATATATTTGTACCAGCATTCCCAAGACCAAACATGAGTAGAGTTGCAATTCAAATAGTTCAATCTCTTGTCAGTTTTAATGACTTTCTCTTCCTAGTCCCTAACCTGCTCAACCAGTCTGACTTTTTAACAAACAAACTCAAGTTCCAGCCATACTACTTCCAATATATCCTTATAGGCTTCATCCCAGACCATTTTCCTGATGCATGAAACCATCCCTCCACCCCACCCCCCCGAAAAGCCTCATACCCTTCCCAGGTCTGATCTTCCCCCAGGTCAAGTACATGCATGAACCCCACAAATGTGAAATGGTTTCCCAACCCACGTCCCCGTCACAGAGCTGGATGCCAATTTCCTTCCTTCCAGGCAGCTTGGCCCGCCTCTGAGATGGGTGTCTTCCATGCCCTGCCAAATGGTGAAAGGACATTCCATAAACACAAGCCACCACAAATCCACCCTTCAGTTGAGTAACCACCATCCTGGCTAGAGCTTTCTCTTTGACCTAAGGGTGTTAGGGTTTGTTTGAATAAGATAATTGCTACATGTCAGTATCTGGGAGCAGAAAGGAAGTAACTCACCACATTTCCTCCTTTTTCTTCTTGCAGCCTCAGCCGAGGGTTCTCCATAAACACGGTTAGCCTTCCAAGCTGCTGTCCTGCCAGTTGGTATGAACATGGCCTGCCTGCTCCCCACAGAAAGACTAACTCATGGCCCTGCCGGAAGAGATCCTTGGAGCATTGACAGATAAACCGGATTAAATGAAAAAACACCCACTCAGTCAAGATTATAAGCTTTGGGAAAAAAAAATCTTAGTTTGCTGTGGATTTTTAAATGAGGTGCATAATTATACAGTGCCAATTTGTTCCAAGTGGTCATTGGCAGACCCTTCACTGGAAGATGGCTTCCAGTTTTCATCACTGTGCATAACTCAAGTTCCCTTTGGGGCACTGTCTGTGCCCATCACTACCAGTCCTGTTTTAGCATGGCAACTACTGGATTATTTTATTATGTGTGCAGATGGCATGATGTTTTAGAAAAAAAATTACAGCAGTTCTGCAGTCTCGGTGGAAGTGTTCACAATATTATGCCCTGATAGGAATGTAAACGTGTCTTGGTTATGTTAGTTATGATGTCCAAAGGTATTCTGTCCAACTCTGAAGCACTTTATAAAAGAACACTACGCTGAGATGAATTAGCACGTTTGGTACATGTAGGAATACAAGTATTTTGTTTTTTCTTTTATAAATCTTGTCTTATTTCTGGCTCAGACTGTCCAAGATAAGCTCTACTACTAGCATATTCCCCAGTCGTTTGTGGTAGGTTGGTGTAAATATGGCCACAATACTGTTAGACCTAACCTCTTGACACTTTACTGAATAACCGGGTTACTTGTAACACCAAAGGGAAGTAGGAGCTTGCCTGGGGGATTGGAACACTGAAGCTGTTGGTTCCTTATACCAAGGCACAACTTAACACATGTACATACAAATACTCAAGTACAGGAGGCTTCTCTTTGGCCAATGTACATATTTTCTCATTCTATAGAGAAGGAGGATGGCCTTCTTTTTAATTAAAGACCATAGATGCCAAGGGCAGCAAAATGCAATTTTCCTGTGTGAGATCCCACTTAAACAGTGGAAAAAATTCTAAGTCAAGTTCAATCACAATTCTCTGAAGAGAAACAGTATCAAGCGACCCCTTTGTGCCTAAAGAAGGAAAGGTTTAGTCCCACACTAGGTTCCTTACTCAGCATAGAACCTTCTACTCCCTTTTAATCCTTTCTGGGATTTTATTCATGACTAATTTTTTTTTTCACTCTCTAATAACAAAGCACAGTCTTAGGAACTGTCTACTCAGTGACTTGTAGCTTGTCTTTGATACTGACTGGACCTATATTTTATTTTAGCTCATTTTTCCCTGGATACAAAGTTGGCTGAATGAAAACCTCAGCAGAGTATGTTCTGTGTGCCTACTACCCCCGCCCGAGGCCGAAAGGCATCAGAGATTTCTCTTTAAAATAGATGTGACAGCATCTGGACCCCTTCCAGCACAAGTGAGCAGGGCATTTGGGGGTTCCTTGAGTCCTCACTGTCTCCACTTGGGGTTCATGAAAGGGAGAGAGATCCAGATGTGATTTGGACCACAAGCCTGTCAGACTGTAAAGCCACAGAAGGGGTGTCCAAGAGGGAACTCAGAGAAGTTCCAGTCACCACTGAGATCTGACCCTCTGACGTGTCAATATCAGGACCACAGGGCCCACAGCAAACCATAAGACTCTACAAATTCAGAATTAGGAGGTCAAATTCTGACTGTCAGTGCCTCAGGATATAACATCCCTATCTCCATTGCCCGTCTCTTGAGGCCTAGTTCCAACAGCAAGACTTCTCTGTCCTTCCAGTCCTTTCTTAATTCAGCCAGCATTTGAGTATCTACCATGAGCCAATCTTTGAGCTGGGACCACTGCAGCGTACCAGGCAGACTCTCCTGCCCTTCTAAAACTGTACCTCCTCTTCCCAAACACTGTCCCTTCCCCACTCTTCCACAATGAAAACTGAATTCAGACAGCATTCACTCTCTGCCAGATTAACCCAGGAAGATGCACACGGCAGCAGGCAGGTCCCTTGCCTGAAGGAGTGGACAGCACCATAGCACATTATATGTACCCTTCCTGTACAGCCAGCCCTTCCAGATTGAGCTGGTTAGAGCTTCCCAGAGCAGCTTTCAGGTTACTCTCCTTGAAATCCACCCTGGTCACCTGTTTCCCCATCCTTCCTTTATATAGACACAGCCATTGATCACTATGCTGGATTCTCTAAAGCTCCAATTCTATAATGAGTCCTGAGGACAATGAATTGGATGTGATGAATCCTAAAGAACTACTGCCAGGTGCTGAGATATTGTAGCTGGGAATGAACTGGTCCAGCCAGGGACATCCTGGGACTACACTACTACACTCTTGGAAAATTGGACATGCTTTATGGTGCAGATATTCACTAAGTGGTGGGGTGCATTGTTACTTTGGCTTTAAAAGTCTGAACATATTAAATAAATGGAGTTTCCTAGCTTACATGTTTTTTTTTTTTTTTTGAGTCAAAAGAGTGCTAGATAATTACTGAAAAGACAATGGAGAAAGGTGGAGATGGGAGAAGGCAAATGTAAAAATGACCATCAAAGAACTCAGTTGAAGATGGTGTCTAAAAATACCTTTATGCCTGGCATACACCACTTACTTGTGTATGACTACTCCTGTTTTCCAAACTGCCCACCTCTGTTTGAAATTATTTGGGGGCATAGCTTTGGAGACGTGGTGGAATAAAATCTGAGCAGTCACAAGCTAAACCAGCAAAATGGAGAAGTGACTTTGTTCATAGCCTCTGGCTTCCATGGTGATCCTCTGAGATTTCCCATGCTGCTTCCTGCTGACCTATACCTTTTTCCCAAGGGGAATGTGTGTGTGTGTGTGTGTGTGTGTGTGTGTGTGTGCGCGTGCGCGCGTGCGTGCACGCATGCTTGTGCAGAATTTTACCTCCCAGAAATTCAGAAATGGCTATGCAGTGAGTTTTGTTTAGTAAGAAGCAAGAGATGGGGAGCTAAGGGATAAATATTTTGATGTGTAAGGGCTGTAAACTGTTGATGCTTAACTTTTACTTAAACCTGTGCTACACCTTTTATTAAAAGGCTCACACCCACACTTGTGCAGGGAAGGCAGTCTTGGGAATGAACAGAAATGAATAATTATCAGACTCTCCAGGGTGCCAAGGGGATTAGCTTGTCCCAGCTCCAGAACTGAATTTAAATATGCAGAGCATTGGTGGTTCTGCTCCAGTAAAAGCAGATCACTTCAGTAGCTTGAGACATGCCTGGGGGATAAGGGACATATCAGCTCTCCTTATGGGGAATGGCCTTCCTTCCAGTCCTTGCGCAGGCTCTGCGAGGTGTGTCCCCACAGATTTGACTTCGACTTCCAGAAAGTAAAGACATAGATGAATTCCTTTATCCCCTAAAGAGTTCCCCACCCAGAGTCACTTTGCAGTTGCCCAAATAGAGAGGCTTATGGTCCTTAGTTCTGAGGGAAATGCAGCATTTTTATTTCTTCCAGGTAAAAAGAGAGATCAACCTTCCAAGAGAATATAAACTAAGGATAAAAACTTCTAAAGCCCCCACCCTTTCTATTTGCAAATGCTTTCTTTGCCTGCAAATGTCACATAACTGATTTGGGGTGGTAACAATAAAAGTCTCAGGGAAGCTAAGGTTTCCGGACCCCCTGAGCGCTTTCGTTTTACTCAGCCCTCCTCTTCTAGAGCATTTGCAGCCTCCATCTTTGAGATGTTTTCCTCCTCATTCTTTAGAGTAATTTTGCTACTTGACAACTAGACTTAAAGCTGCCATAGACCCTTAAAAATCTAATCTTTGAAAGTGACAGAAATTCCTTTATTCCCCAAAGGCTGTTTCTATTCACCTCTCCCTTGGCTTTGTTTCCTATGTGTGTGTGATTTTCTTTTTTTCCTTTTCATCTCTTTCTTTTAACATAGTGCTGTGGGTAGATTTCAAGCATTCTCTAAAGAACTTGAATAGAAAAACAGAGTCCTCACCTTTTTTTTTGCCCAGTCCTGACTAATAATTCCTTCTTAAGTTTGACCTTGGTGACTGCTATCTGCCCAAACAGCAGTGGAATTCTCATCTCTAGGAGGGGACTGGTCAGCCCTGATCATCAAAACTAAATCGAGGGATCAGGGAGGGGACAGGCCAGGAGATGTTCCTACTGGGGCACAGCTGGAGACTCTATTTCAAAGACAGGCAGGGTTTGCCCCTCCTCTCCTTAAATCCGCATCTAATCCTGGAGCCCGAGAACTGTCCTGTGGATTCCCCTGGCAGCTTCAAGGTAAAAGAGGGCTATATTTCCATTATTTTTGCTCCAGTGACTTTCAATATTCAGGAGACAGGGTACATTAATTTGAAAGCTGTGCTGGTCAAGAGCACAGGCGGGTTCTGCCACACCTTAATAAAAAGAACAACAACATAGATGCTTCTCATCCGAGAAGGTGGCTGAAGGGACAGTGTCAATACTGGTGTCTTCTGCCCATTCCTTCGTTCCACAGGTGAAATCCTGGGCAGGGGAGTAGGAGCAGACAGTCACTGTTTCTAAAAATTTTAGGGTAAAATTTATCAGCAACCAATGCAAAAGGAAAGAGTCATCAGGCATGAGCCCGTTCTAGTCCTCTCACCCAGCGGCAAAATGACTAACAAATGGCTTCCAAGGAACAAGTGTAAAAGGTTTTGCAAAACTGAAGTTTCATTTGCCACATAAGGCTATTTAAAAATCTTGAAGCACCCCAAGCATTCCGAGATCAGAGCCTCCCTCTCCTAATTACATCCAGCATGAAAAGGCACAAACAGCCTACTCTTAAATTATAATCCGTCACCCTATGTCTTGTGTTGGACTGCAGTTGGGTGGGTGACATCACAAAGTGTTGTTGCTATTAGACATTGTTCATAATCACACAAAATCTGCATATTGTGATGCCAATAGTTTGGGAGTTTCACTTTGTTGTTGTTTATTTCGTGATTGCTTCCCAACCCTCAGACATACCCAGGAGACTTAGAAAGACTCTGAAACCCAGGCCTTCTGCCTAGCATGCAGTATCAGAAACAGCCCTACCTACTGTGAACTATAAAAAGATTATTCAATTAAATTAATCTGACCTTGGAGATACTCATACCTAAAATGATTATAACCCTGAAGACATTGCTGTTTGCCTGACACATTTTTCATAGGCTTTTAAAAATTCAGTTGTTTGGGGGCTAGAGATAAAGCTCAGTTGGTAGAGTGCTTTCCTCACATGCAGAAGGCCCTGGGTTCAAGCCCCAGCACCACAAGAAAAAAAAGAAAAAGAAATTTTAGTTGTTTGGATCAAGAAATTAATAGTTGGTTTTGAATAGTTTGGCCACATCAGCATACACATAGCTACCAGATGTAGAATTCCAGGTTGGGTTGATGTGCCAGAGTTCACAGTTCTGTTATGTGGGATTGCACTTAATCACCTCCACCCCTCTCAAATTCTGTGAAAATATATTAAAACACTTTATGCTAAAAAAAAAAAAAAAAAAAAAACTAAAACAGTAAACTCTTATTTGATCATTATTTCACTTGGGGTGGGGAAACTCATTTGGAAAATAACTTTGAAGAAAACTTTGCTTGCTATTAAGTGCCTCCAACCACAGAGCTTGCTCCTG